TCATTTTAAGGGAAGGTTTCCCCACCCAATGTGTAATTCTGATTTTTGTTTATTTATATATGAACTTAGAATCTCTATGCTTGCTTGCTGAGTGTGGTGGTGTATGTCTATAATCACAGCTACTCCAGAGGCACAGATTGGGAGGGTTGAGGTTTGAGACCATGCCAGGCAAAAAATTAGCAAGCTTCCATCCCAACAAATAAACTGAATGTGGTGGAATGCATCTGTAATCCCAGGTAGGCGGGAGGCACAGGTGGGAGGATCTTGGTTCAAGTCCAGTCATGGGCAAACACGTGTGAGCCTATCTGAAAAATGACCAAATCAAAAAAAGGTTAGACTCTCTTTCCTTCCTGAGCCTTAATTTTTAGTCATTAGCTTGATCCTGAAATTGGAATTTGGCAAAATTGTGAATTAAGAGTTGGAAAACAAGGAAGAAATTTACTAATTTTGTTTTTTAAAAAATGTAAATACTTTTGTTTGGAGTTTGCCTTTAAGTCAGATATTTGGTATTGTGATCTTACCAGCGATGGTCATCGTAGACTCATTTAAAAGATGAATATTTGGTGGTGGTAACTCATCAGTTAGAGGGACTGTTCCTTGGTGTGCCACAGGAAGTCAACGGCCTCATGTCCCTTCTGTGTGCAGCAGGACACCCATTATCACCAGAGTGAAGCTTTAGGCGAGATAAAAGAGGTGGTTCTTCAAATTAAATTTAAGCATTGTTTCAAGCCTTTTAAAAGGACTTTGTTTTTAACAAGAGTCATAATAATTTATTTTTGTTATTGGTCGAGACAGAAATGTATAATCTTCGGAAAAGTCTGCAGCTCTGTGGCTCTTAGTGCAGCGCCATCTGGTATTGCTGTACTGGGGTGAAACTGACAGTGGCTGGTAAGATTCCTACTCTGTTCTCAGCCCATCTCCTATTTTTTCAACTGAACAGTAGGGGGCAATGTTGAGCTGCCAGTTTGAAGCCCCATGATGCTAGCCTTTCAGGAAAATGCATACAAATGTACAATTAACTGTCAAGAATTATCCCTGTTGCTTCAATTTAGCTGTAATCTCCAAGATTCCATAACACGGGAAATCAGTTGTGGGTTAACAAATTCAACAGCAATTAAACATAAAAAGTGCAGTGTTTGGTGCATATTTGGATTCTATAGAATTAGACTAATCTACACAGCATTTTTGAATGTGCTAACTTTGCTCCCAGGGACTATATTACTCAAAATTATTATCATTTTTGACAAACGATTCTTTTTTATCTTCATACTTTCTTGAATTTTTAAATCATGTGTGTGTTGTGGAAAGATTTCTTTAATCAGTACATTTTGTCTGTTATGCAACATAATATCCATCTCTTTTGGCAAAAAAAAAAAAAAAAAACCTCAGGTAATATGTGCATTACTTTTCACCTTTTGCTTATGAGCAAAGCAATCTTTGACAGCCTTTGTACCAGGAAAGAGACTTATGTTGTAATTTCTCTCCATCTTTGTATTCTTTTTTCACTCTGTGGTTGGGAGGTGGAGTCCCAAGAAGGATATAGGAGAATGGAAAATATCTTTGAACTGGCTTTTCTTCCATTAATGGTAATTGCCTCACATGTCATAACCAGCCACGTATTTCAAAAAGTTTAGTCACCTGTCACAAAAATTCCCCCAGCCCATACTGCCCACTCCATGTCCCAGCAAGTAGTTTTTTTTTTCACACTGTTTATTCTTGCCATTCTCTCCCGGAAGATAGTTTTACTTTGTGCATGCTCTTGTGATATAAATGTTAAACCTTATGATTTGAAAGACATTCTGATAAAATATCACATTTTCCCTGAATATTACCTCATGAATTTATGAGCCATTAAGTCAAAAGCAACATAACCTTTTCTCACATCCCAGGAATTTAGCCCAGCCTTTCCTCTCTTCTTTGCTCCACATTCAAGAAGTATTATAACACTGTAACTCTATTTAAATATCTGTATTTTATTTTATTTTTGAACCAACCTATCACCTCCCATCCAAGATTGTTGTATTATGAGGCGACTCTTCAGGATAAGAGGGAGTTACCATTTGAAAGAAACTGTACAAGCTTTGCTTTCTGGGTAAAGAGGAATATGAAAAGCTGAAGTCTCCTGTGAGGTGAGAAAGTCTTGCTGTAGCCAGAGATTTCAATGGATAGGCCATTTGTCTCTCAGGGTCTGGTATCGCTCTTTGCAAAACTGACATTTATTTTACCTATAAAAATGTTTTAACCCTATCAAATTCAAAGTGATGCTGAAAAGAATGCTAGGTGTGAAATCCTCTAAATTGATGGCATTTATTCATTTCCTTTTGACCTTAAAAAGTCTATTTGGTACAATCCAATGGAAATTTTCTCCAATAGTTTCCAGAGTAAACATTTTCAAAAGCACTGATGATTTATACAGTGGAGAGAAATTTCTTCATTCATTTTTCACTGCTTTTCCTTTTTGAAGAGAAAGTAGATCCTGATCATTTTCAGTGTTTTGAATTGCATTTCCTGTCATGATAGATCCTTAAGCTGACATAGCAATGTGTTCATGTGGCAGTTGGCCTTAATAACCCTTATTGACTTTAGTGACGGGAGCCAAGACTGGATTATTTCAATGTATCCATTTTTGAAATAGTATAAAACACAACGTATAATTATGTTAGGTAAGCTATAGGCTACATTTAATTCTACCCATTTATGTTAAAATTTGGCACAGGAGAGTAGAGAGATGTGGAAAATGAGTAGGTGTTTTATTTAATAATGTAACCAGATTCTTGTTTTTAAACTTTTAAGAAAGAAATGTACTTAAGAATGTAAAGGTTGTCCCTAACAAGTTACTTATAATAGTTTTGAAAACAAGACGAGTCATGACTCTTTCCTTGTCATTTGGCCTGTGTAAATCATCTGGGGAAGCTGGTTCCAAGAGTCTGTCTGACACTGTGGACGGGTCCTCTTTAGTGTGGGTTACACAGTCTAGGAAATGATCACACCAAAGAGCAGTTTGTTTGTTTTTGACAAGGTTAATGAAGCTATCATAACATTGCTGTATATCAAATTCTTTATAACTGAATATAAGAAAAGGTTACTTCTTCATATACTGAAATATACACTGAGTGCACTTGTGTTTGCTTTTGTATAATAGTTCAATTAGCTGAATTCATTTTTAACTTTCTTCTAGATTAAAGATTTTTAGGTGTATGAGGAAGAAAATGATAAAATATAAATACTAATTTTCAGGTTCATATTAATGGTGAAATCATCTGTATATAATATGTACTATATGTGCATACACTTACCTTCTGCATTAGTTTTCACGTCCACATTAAGTTATACTTGTTAACATAATCCTATCTTCCATCTTTTCAGGGTTAATATTTCTAATTTAGGAACAAGTATGTTGTAGTAATTTAGGATCAGTGTAGGATGTCTGATGATTTGAAATTACGATTTAAGTTCCTTCTCCCTGTTTTGAATGGGACAATGCAGACTGGCCCAAGATAAGCACAGACTGGAGGCAGGTTAAACATTTATAAGCACTTAATAATTCAAATTTTGGAACACTGTGTTTTGGGACCTTTGTGTTTAGTTTTGGACATTTTGAAAAAAAGACAAAAGTCACTTTCAGCCATAATAGCTTAAACTCCTTGGCTCCCATTTTTTATTATCCTAGTGTTCACTGAAGGTTGGTTCTTTCCATTCTCCTCCCTGCCCACCTGCCTGTTCTGATTCCCCACAGCTATGCTGTTCTGTTAAAAGTAAAATATTGTGGAGGGGGGATTTTACATGTAATTTAGCAATGAATTTCTAGCAAGGTTTGTTTTCTTTGATTGCCTTCTGAATTTCTCTTAGATTTCTCCATTTTTTCCCCTTTGTTGCTGTAGATTTAGTAATAAATATTTTTAAAGAGTATTGTGTATATTGTCTTTTTTGGGAAAAAAGCATTTATAATTCCAAGAGAATTCAGGCTTAAGCCTAAAACCAGAATGCACATTGGACGCACAAAGGACTGTGTTTATAATTCTCTTTGAAGCGTTTTTGCAACTGGATAAGGAAAATTTTAGAAACCAACTGATAGTGTTCAGGGTAAATACTTAAACCCCTTTAGAGAATTTCACACACAGATACTGTGCAGCAGAAAAAAGGATACTTATGTTTCTCAAAGCTGCTACAGCCTACAGCTTTGTACTTAAAGACAGAGGTGTTGAATAGAATTCTACTGAGGATACATCCAGTGACAATATCTCCTGGAACATCAGAGCAAACAGTGGGTAGGACTTTCTGGTTTAACCCTTCGGTGATCTGTGTGAGTGGAGCTTTACTGGTGCCCACTGCTTGGATGTGCCTGGTACATCCTAGGAATGTTTAGAGAATTGTGCTGCTGCCTCTGTTCTGAGCAACAGGAACAAGGCTAAAAATGTGGAGGATGGTGAGACAAACTGACAGGAGTTAGGAAATTCTAAGTGAAAGCCTTTTCATCTCCCTTAACTCTGCTAGTATGCACAGAGAAAAAACAGAATAAGCAACCAAGGTTTGTATTTTACCCTTGATCTCATAGTGTTGGCTAAATTTTCCCAATCTCAGTTAAATATACACGTGTGTGTGTGTGTGTGTGTGTGTACACATATTTTACACATGGTATATGTAAAAATGAAAAAAAAAGATAAATTCTGTTGTAAATGTTTTTAACTACACTGAAATTCAGATTAACTAACAGAAAGGGTGTAAAAGTCCTGTCACTTTTCCCTAGGGTGCTATGGTAGCTTTGGCTTCTGGAATTTACTTTGAATTGCTTTGAATAGCAGGCTATCATAGCATTCACATGTGAATTCAGAAACTCAGTGCCAGACAGTGATGTCAGGAATTTACATTTTTCCAGGGAAAGATACAGTAGAAAACAAAGGTGTAACTTCTTTCCTCTGGTCATTTGAGAGAGATTGGCAGAGTAATTAAATTTAGCTCTAGTCTATCACTTACCTTATTAAAAATTCCTTTGCAATATCTTAGACAAATCGAAATCTAGAAGAATGAAGTACTGTTAAAAATATCAGCAGGCCTACAGTTTGGAAAGAGAAGCAAGATTTCCAAAGGATGCTGTGTCGCTCGTTTGAAGTGTTACCCAGATTTTAAGCTCTTTTTCCCCAAATTGGTTAATGAGTGGTTGCAAAAACTGTTACCTTCTAAAGAACATTATTATGATGACCTCATGAGAAAGTTTGTTAAATAGAAAATGCATGTGCAAGGCATCACAGTATGTGATGTTAGAAGGCAGTATGAACAGTCCTCAATTTAGGAACCCTTGCTTAGAGGTCATTTGACTGAGTCTCCCATAGTGACATTTCCTTGCCTGTAAAGCTGGGGTTCTGTCTAGGAGATAAAGGAACTCGTAGCAGTTTGGAGCACAGTAATACTCTTTTTTTTTTTTATTCCTATGTGCATACAGGCTTGGGTCATTTCTCCCCCTGCCCCCACCCCCTCCCTTACCACCCACTCCGCCCCCTCCCTATCCCCCCCCACCCCCTCAATACCCAGCAGAAACTATTTTGCCCTTATTTCTAATTTTGTTGTAGAGAGAGTATAAGCAATAACAGAAAGGAACAGGGTTTTTGCTGGTTGAGATAAGGATAGCTATACAGGGAGTTGACTCACATTAATTTCCTGTGCATGTGTGTTACCTTCTAGGTT